ACTTTTCTGCCCCTTCTATTTTTTTAAGTTTCTGTGAAGTGATTATATTGCTTATAAAAAACAAAACAACAATAAGAAAACACTTAGGTTTACTTCAGTAAGTTTTTGAAATAAAAAGCCACGACTACTGGGTTTAGAGGGGCATGTGCAGAGTGCATTTATATCCAACTGTAACAGGGCAGACACAGCAGGCACCTGAGGAAAGAAACCACAAAATCTGATGCTCCCCAGGTAAGGGCAGGCCCAAGTCCTACAGACTGGGTGGGGCAGCACCGGGACTAGACGCATGACCCTAGCACCCTGTCCAGCATGCACCCAATGAAGCTGGAGGGAGGATGTTAGGAGATCAAAACATTATGTTACCCAAGATCAACCAGGGACAAGGAGAAATCCTGTGAGCACACAGGGTACTCAGACACTTGAGACAGCACGGCCAGAGAGGTAAGAGGAAAACCAAGTGAGCTGAGGAAGAGTGTCATTAAGGCAACGTGTTCTCAAGAAATGAGCCCCAGGGGCCGGCCGAGTGGCGTGTTGGTTAAGAGCTGGCTTGGGACGCCAGCTCTGAGCAGCAGGGCCCTGGTTCGGATCCCACATGGGGGCCAGTGACACTGTCCTCTACAGCTAAGATGGTGAACAGCTCGACCTGGAGCTGGGCTGCCCTGAGTCGCCGGCGACCGCGTAGGCTGCAGCCCCTGCTGCAGTGGGCTGCCATAAGCTACCATGAGTGGCCGGCAGCCAGCGTGAGTGGCCGGCAGCCAGTGTGAGCTGCCAAGAGCCAAGAGTCGCGGTGAGCTGCCGTACAGAGGCCAGCGACCGATCTGCCTCACTCAGGAAGAGCGCAACGATAATACCAACATGGGCCAGTGAAGCGACGTCCTCCACAACTAGACTGAAGAACCAAAGAACAGCAACTTGTCTGTTCCCCTTCCCCCGATTCCCCAGCGCTGTTCCCCTCCCTCAATTCCCCAATAAAATCTTAAAAAAAAAAAAGAAAGAAATGAGCCCCAAAGATGCACATCAAGGATGCTTAAAACACTGAAAAATTAGAACATAATCTGCACCAAAAGGGGACCAGTTAAATAAAAGCATTTGTAAGTTATTAAAGTGAGTAAGGTAGACCTATGTGCATTGTCATTTAAAAAAAAAAAAAAAGGCTCTAACACACACTGATAAGCCAAGCAAGTCATAGAACAGAATATACAGTATGAACCATCCATATACAGAAAGGACCACAGGCTTATGTAGGATAAATTTATATACGGAGAAAAAGACTGTTAACAGTCGTTACCTCAGGGGCAGGGAAGGGTCGGGGAACTGGGAAACAGAAGTGGGTTTCTACTTTTTATTTTACTGTGCTGCTCACATTTGTCGTTTTTTAAATGAGCACTATTTCTTTTGTAATAGTATATTTTGACTGTAAGACACGTTATTTCACTTTAACATCTCTGAAATTAGCATGCTTGTTACATTCATTTCCAGCATGAAAAAAAAAGATGAACATCTCTCGATGTTTCTTGCAGTCAGTGGGGTCTTTGATTTGATGAAACAGAATAATGTTAAACATAAATTCTTTATTAAAAAAAGGGGGTATGGCAGAGAGTATTAAATAGTGACAAAAGGTCTGGTCAGATCAGGGCTAAAGGACTGCCTTATTGCATTTGTATTTTTTAGAGATGCATACTGAAGTAGGTTAGAGGTGAAATGACACGTCTGGGATTTGCTTCAGAATACTTCAGCAAAGGAAAGAAGAAAAAGAAACAAGGTAGATGAAGGAAATGTGGAAAAATCTTGACACTACTCAACTTGGATAATAGGTATTATTTGGGGGTCACTTTATTCTCTCTACTTTTATGTATATTTCAAAGCGTTCATGAAGGACAGGATTGCAAAGATGGTGAGCTCCCCAGGGACAGGGTCCCAGCACTGATGAGTGAGATGGATCTAGCAAGAAGACACCCTGGTCGCCTTGGCTGAGAGACCTGAATAGTTGAGAGTATCAGTGAAAGAAAGGAAAGCAATTCTAAGAAGAAAAGGCCAAGTCCCATGGACAATGTGATGTCCTGTCCTCCCTCTGCCTCTCTCACAGATGAGCTCCCACCAAGTCACCACAGTCCCTTTTCCTGGGACCCCACCCCAACATCCCAAGGGCCCTAGTAGGAGTCACATACCCAGGATATGGGGCAGAGGGACTTGTACACACGCCGGTACCATTGGCACACGGAGACATCACCCCCTTTAGCAGTCATTGCCTTCTCACAGCGGTGGAAATCTGTGAAAAAGGGGATTGAGGGTCAGCCTAGACAAAGGGCTGGAACACATTTTTGAACAGAATTCACAGAAATACTTTTTACCTCACAACCAGTTCTACACAGGCACACACGTTTCACAAGGAATGCACACCCTTACAAGTGTACTAAAAAGGGCTACATAAGCCTCACTACATTGACTCTGCAATCCCTAGAGAACTGCTCAACTTGAAAACTCTGGGGTCAGGACTGATTGGGCAACATGAGGGGCGTTATGGAAATACAGAACGAGGGCAAGGGAAGGGGAAGATGGTCTTAATGCTAAGATGCTGGAGTCTGAGAGAGGGAGACAAGATGGGAATAATCTGGTTTTTAAAAGTAGGCTGTTAATTAAAAAAAAAAATTATTCCTAGTATTCCACCCCTGGGTACATTCCCTAGAGACAAAAGCATTCACATGGACATTAAATTACATCTATAAAAACATTTATAGCAGCATCAGTTGTAAGAGCCCCAAACTGGAAATTACTCAAATGCCACGAATAAACTGTGAAAAACTGTACAGCAACGAAAATGAGCAAACTCATTTTCACAGCACAGATGAATCTTCAAAACTGTTGAATTAAGAAATCCAAACAGAATTCAAAGAGAATCACACAGTATTTATAAAGTTCACAAAGAGGTAAACATAAAAGCGGTAAGAAAGCCAAAATGTGATTGCCTTAAGTCGGTGGGGTGACATCTCTAGTGGAGAGAGTAGGGTGTTGTGCTCAAGAAAGGGCATGCAGCAGGCAGGGGAGTTCAAAGTCCTGGCAACATCCACTTTTCTATCCAGGTTACGGTTACACAGGGGTTCATTATGGAATTATTCATTTCACTGTACATTGTTTTTTGTACTTCCTGTATGTATGTTAACAAACACACACATCTTTTAAAAATAAGTCATTGTAGGAACCAAACTTGATGGCACTGGCCCAGACCTTGAACATAGCTGGTAAGGGGCATGGGCCCTGTTAGATGTCCAAAATGAAAGAGAAAAGGCCTGGGACGCATGGGTCCCGATGAGGCAAGAGGTAAGCAACTTTAGGTGTGGGACCAGGGGAAGGTCAGCATTTCCCCTCCACCATGCCCTGCTTACCCAGGTAGTTCTGCCAACAGTTCCTGGTCTGGTTCTGATTGGGGAAGCGGCTATCAAAAGGAGCGGTCTGATAATTCTTGATCTTGATCTTGATGTCTTCTGCCATGTTGCTGACTCCTGAAGGCAAAGAGTGGGTGTTGAAAAAGGTTCTAGGGGACCTGAACCTGGGCATTTAGGCCCACCCAAGCCCAGTGGGGGCCCAGACACAGAAGATGGGCTGGATATGAATAAGCCGCCACACCCTCCCTCTCAAAACACACACACACACACACACACACACGCTCGCACGCACAGAGGTAAAGAGCAAGGCAAATCATACATCTAAATGTGGAAGTCACAGAAGGGTTTGTTTGGAGGGAGGGTCAGTCACAAAATAACACTAGCTAACACTTATTTAGTGCTTACTACAGGCCAGGTGCTGTTCTATTCACTTTACTCCTACAGCCACTCTAAAAGGTAGAAACTATTTCTATCATAGTTCTACAGACAAGGGACAGGGTGTCTAAATGACTTCTCAAGGTCATACAACCTACAAGTGGTGGAGCTGCACTCAATCATTGACATAACCTACAATGCACAGGTTCTTAATGTTTTTGGTGCCATTAACTCTTCAGAGGACTAATGACCCCTTTCTCAGAATATTTTTAAGTGCATTAAAAAATTGCACACGCTCACAAAGAATACCAGTTATATGTACCTAAGGATTCACTAATTACCACAATTTTAAAGTAATCATGAGTGACAATATTTTGTGACACCTACAACCATAATGTGATTGATATAAGATGACCTGTGATTTTGATAGCTGACAAAATCAACAGATACCGCTAATACTGAGGTTGTTGCCTCCATACCTAACTGAAGGAAATGCTAAATTTCAATTAGATATTAGTAAAAATAGAGTTGTAATCCCCTCCCCCCATTGGAGTACTAGCACTCCTTGAATTCTATTGATTCTGTGGACGTAGGGTTAAAAACCTCTGTTATAAAGTCTCTTAAGTGTCTTAGGTGACACTGAGTTTTCATCATGGAATCAGGGAGAAACTGTCTCTATTCCAGAAGTCTGGGGTTACATAGAGGCGCACAAACCAGTGTTAAATTCAAGTGATCCAAGGTAATGGTGGGGCTCTTAAGCACCACAGTAGTTTTGGGGGTGGGGGGGCGGAAGAATGTGGGGAGCGGGGGTGTAGAACACCGGCTGCTGAGACAGAGACGCAATCGGAACAGTAGTTTGGGGCGAGACCTCGACCCACTATCTAGAAGTGAGGGTGGATCGGTGATGTCATTGCGGTCCCCGACCAACTCCAAGGGGAAGAGGAGGGGCCAAACACCAGGGAGCTAGGCTGCAGCCCAGGTAAGCCGCTGGGGCCAAGCCTGTGGCCGGGTGATTAAGAGCGCTGCAGCCAACAGCTTGATTTGCAAACAACTGAGTGCAAATCCTGGTCATTCGCTAAGTGTCTTAATATCTCTGAGCCACAGTTGCCTCACTGTCAAAAAGGACAATCACAGTCCCTACCTCATAGGGCTGGAGGGAGGACTAAATTAATTAATATAAGTCACTTGGAACGTTACCTGGCATTAAGGAAGAACTAAATAATCGTTAGCTATGACAGCATGCTAACACAACAGGACCCCAGGGCCCCGGGAGGCCGAACACCTCCGGCCGGAAACCTCACCTCGTTCTCGGGGAAGCTAGCGTCCGGTTCCTCTGTCCCCCACGATGGAGTCCCAGATTCCCGAACCCTCGACACTCACCCAAACAAGCCGCTGAAGCTGCTCCCAGCTCAATGTGACCCTCAGCAAAGACGCTTTCGTCTCACCGGAAGCGGAATTAAGACGGGCCGGAAGCCGGGCGAGTCGGGCTATGGAGGAGTCTTCCACACGGCTAGAGCGCCCATGGGGAGGCGGGCCCTGAAGCCATTTAAGGCCTCGCCCATCCATGCTATCTCCAGTCTCCTATTGGGCTGAATGCCTGTTCATCACCACTCCAGGCCCAACCATGAGCTTGCGTAGCACTTGCAAAGGCTCCGAGCTGGGGCTTGGAACGCCGCCTAGTTACAGGTTCTCATTATTTCGCTGGCTTTACCTGAAGGGAGTTGTGGATGCTGGGGCTGGCTGGAGAGTGGGCCTGGGGAAAATACCCAAGCGGAAGTATTCTTATTCGTGCAAGAATTATTTATTGAACACTTAACCAGTGCCAGGTACTTCTGTAAGTTTTGGGGATGCATCGTTGAACAAAAGGCAAAAATCCGTACCCTCATGATTCTTATGGGGTTAATTGTTAGGGTATTGAAAAGGAACAAGTGTTTCTCCCAGCGTCATTTGTCACGTTAAGGGGAATGCCCAGACTCCACCTCCAAACCTCAGATGGTATAAATGAACAGATTTGGGTGACGGAGGGCTCAAGAACCAGTCCTGCATTAGAGAGAGGAAGGGTTAGGAGTTAAAACTTGGTTCTGTGAAGGGAAGGGCCTAGCAGAAATGGTCCATCTCAGATAATGGCAACTCTATTCTTCTGGACAGAGATGTCCTTCACACCTATCTTTCTCTCACACCCCATAGCTGATCTATCAGGAAATGTTGGCTCTGCCTTTAAAAATAATACCCAGAATATTCTGCCACATCTGGTTCAAGCCACCAGCACCTCCAGGCTGGACAATTACCGTAGTCCACTGCCCTTCACAATTGATCCACTCAGCCAGAGGGACCCAGTTAACACCTCAGATCACTTCCCTTCCTCAACCTAGAACCCCCATCTCGTGACTGGTCTGACTCTTTTGGTCTAAAGGGAAAGTCCTTACAAATGACCTACAGAGTTGGGCCCCCTTTATACCCTCATCTCTGTAAAAACTGACAAAGGAAACTTTATTCAAGAGGTTTGGAGTTGGGAAGAGAGAGCTCTCAATGCATGTACCATTCACTGCAGCCTACATAACCAACCAGCAGGAAAAATGAAGATAATAATTTTAATAAGGTCTGTTTGTGTAAAATTCTCAGGGTCTCAGCTCTTTGTCCGTGATGATAAGAATGTTTCTTTTCTTCTGGTTCAAGGGAGGTCATTTTTCACATGGGAATTTCATCCGCTTTAAAAAAAAAAAAAAAGATCCCTCTAAGAAAAGCTTACCTTTCCTTTGTCTCTTTGGACATGCTTGTAGATTGCTACAGTTTGCCTGTCCCAAATTGCAATTCCTTTGCTATTCCCAAATAAACTAATCTTTTGAGCTTGCCTCAGTTTACCTCTGTTTAAGGCAAAACCTCTACCCGTCTCCTTACTCCCACTGCTCCATCCTGGGAGCTGGCCTCCTCAAAGGTCCTTAAACATGAAGGCTGGCTTCCCCCTAAGGGCCTTTGCACTTGCTGTCCCCTTGGCCTGAAATGCTCTTCCCACAGCGCCTTCCCTCCCTCACCTCCTTCAGTTTTTCCTTAAATGTCACCTTCTTGGTGAGTCCTTCTCAGACAAGATATTTAAAGTTGCCATCTTGTCAGTCTGTATCTCCCTTCCCTACTTTATTTCTCCATAGCATTATCTTCTCACATAATATGTCCTTTTTTTGGTTGTGTTTTCACCTCCCTCGATTTACTAGAAGATTGTAAAGGAGCAATTTTTGTCTTACCATTGTATCTCCAGCACCTAAAATAGTGCCTAGCAAGGAGGTGTTCTAGAAATATTTGTTGGAGTGGATTTCTTGTGTGAAGAAAGCACCTTCTGGGGACTGGAAGAAGGAGCTGTGAAAGAGACCTGCTTTCATCCCCTCCTCTTGGTCTGGCCTCCAAAGCTTTAAAGATACTATGTTGGGTGCAATGTCCAGGCCTCATTGGGTCAGGGATCTCTTACACATTCTGTTAATCAACATTGTAATTATTTGTGGAACTACCTTTTTATATGCCTGCATTTACCCCCTTAAATGATATCTTCCTAAAGCCCAAATCCCTTCCCTGCTTAACCCTTCCATGGCTCCCCTGTGCCCTCAGGACAAAACCCAGCCTGCTTACCGTGGCCCCACAGATCCTTTCTGAACTGACTCATGATCCACTCTCTAACACAGTGATATTTCACAGTGATACTGTGAGATCTTCTATCTCCAGGCCTTTCTCATGCTGTTTCTTCCTCCTGGAACATTCTTTGTCTACCTGACCTCAAGGCAGCTGTTTTTTCCTCCAGGAAGCCTTCCCTGACACCCCTGCCCCAGACTAGGTCAGGTCCCTCCTTTTGGGTCCCCTCAGTCCCCTGGAGTTTCCCCATCCCAGCCCTGACTGTTGTGGGCTATCCCAGTCTGGTGATGGGTCTACCCCCGCCCCCCACAGACTGTGAGCTCCCTAAGAGCAGTGTCCAGAGTTGTCTTGGTCACTGCTAATCCCCAGCATCGTCTACAGGAGAACCACTCAGCAGGCTCTCTTTAGGGGCTCAGTGGTTCCCAGAATGGGGTAAGCTATCCTTGGTGTCTAGGTCTGAGTTCTATGTCCTCCATCTTGGAGTGTGAAAACAGTTGGTGGTTTTGGGGGGCAAGCACTGGGTCTAATTCCTTGATAGTCCCTAGCACTGTGAGGGGACACAGTAAGCCCTTTTGGAGCCTCAGTCCTCTTTTTCAAGGGGGCCAGAGTAGATGAACTTGCAAGTTAGTAACTGGGTCAGATTTCCTTACAAGCCCCAGCACAGGGCAGGCACACAGTAGGTCCTATGAGGACTGAGTTTAAGTCCTTTGCATGTCCCATTATACAGTGAACACACAGTAGGTTCCCTAAGGGTCTGGGTCTGTTTTGGTCATGGTGTATCTTGGGATCACACAGGCGGAGTGGTGGTGGTGCGCACACACACAGGCTCCCCCAGCGGCGGGTCTAGTCAGTATCAGTGGGAAAGATGCAGACGGCACTCGGATGAGCTTTCACGGGTATTTTTATTGGGTCGCTGTTCCCTGTCCTCCCACCTCTCGGTCAGCATAAGCTAGGTCAGGCACACAGTCTCCGAAGCGGTACGTGTACTTGCGCCCACCGCTCTTGCGCACGATGTCTCGGCGATAGTAGTAGCGCAGGCCTCGGCTCAACTTCTCGTAATTCATGCCAGGTTTCCTCTTGCGCTCTCCCCACAGCCGCGCCACCTAGGGCGGAGGCCCAGTTTAGTCTAAGAGGAGGGAGGGGGTGGGCTTGGCAAGGGATGCGCCGGGGGCAGAGTTCGGGTACAGTCCCATCACGGTTTAGGCCGGGCTGAGCCGGGTGGAATTGAGGGCGAGGTTGGGGCGGGGTCAAGGACTAGGCAAAATGAATGGCGGGGCTAGGCTGAACAAGAGGAGACTGGGGCAGAACTTGGTGGGTCTAGGAAGTTGTCCCACCTCTTTGGGGTCGCACAGCTGGAACTCGCGGCTATTGCCCGTCCAGCGGATGAAGCTGTTATGCGCCCCGTCTTGGAGTAGCTCCAGGAGGAACTGCCACAGCTGAATGGGACCTACAGGGTGGAGATAGGTAAACACTCAGGTTTCCTGGCCCCAGTCCAGTCGCTTCGATGACCCAGGAGTCCGAGCTCCCGCACCTTGAAGATCCAAGGGTCCCGGTCTTCCCAACTTGGGACCTAGGAGCCCAGATCCCCTCCTCCTCGGGGACCAGCGAGTCCGGATCCTTCCATATAAGGGACCCAAGAATCGGCCTCGGGGACCCAGGCATCCGGGGCCCCCATCTCAGAGATGTAGGAGTTCAGCTGCCCCACCTCGGAGACCCAGGCATCCAGACCCTCATGTCTCTCGCATAATCCAGGAGCCTAGGTCCTCGTCCCTTGCTCCCTAGAAGACGACGAGTGTCTTAATCCTCCCCTACTTTAGGATTTAGGAGTGAGGGCCACCGCCCCCTCTTCTCCCAAGCTCTTAGGTATCCAAGCCCCGCCCCCTCATTGCCAGTTTCCGGGGTTCTACTCCCTATGGAGCCTAAGCCTTGCCTCCCGAGACTCCGGCTTCATTCCCTCCCGACGAAGTCTCACAGACTTCTCACCTCGGTGGTTAGTTCTGGAGCCACGAGCCAAAATTGCGCTGTCTGACTGCTGCCTCAGTTCGGAGGAAGTGGTGAGATCCGAACTCCGGTACTCCTTCGAAGAGGTGGTGCAATCCGTATGCAGCCCGGAGTCCCAGGAGGTGGGATAGTCCGAGCCCGCAGGCCCACCCCAAGAAGTTGTATAGTCAGCGCGCTGCTCCCCGCCGAGGCCCTTGCCCCAGTAGGTGGCGCCGTCGGGGCCAACAGAACAGTCCCAGTTCGTGGAGCTGGTCGCGGCGGGCGCGCGCGACCACGAGCTGGCCCCTTCCGCGGAGGTCGTGTAGCTCTGGCCCGCTACTCCTTCAGACCCAGCGAAGGGGGCGGAGCACAGGGCCGGCGAGACGCGGCTCCAAGAGTCCCAGCCAGGACACGCCAGGTGGGTCCTGTCTCCCGACCACGGAAGAGCCTGAGGGGCGTGCTCTGTGAGGAGGAACAGACCCCAAGTGAGGGGATCCCAGGTGTCCCACTTCCCAGCCCCCTCGGAGGTTCTAGGAATCGAAGAAGCTCTCGGCCCCTGGCACCTGAGGCCCCGGGCTCTCGGATCTAGGACAGGCCAACTAGAAGACAGGCGTCCCCTGTCCTATCTTCGTTCTTCCTCCAAGATCGGGAAGGCTAAATTTCAACCACGGTGGGGGACCCCACACCCTTCTTCCCCCCGCCTCAACGCAGACACTCACCAGCACCCCATAATGCTTCTGGGTGCAGTGACGCGGAGCCCCAGTCCTGCTGTGGGAGCCCTGCGAGGCATAAGGAACTTGAGCTGAATTTCCGGAAGGATGTGAGCAATGACTAGAGACCCTCCTCAACCACTCACCCAGTAGTCTTCATTTGTCAGGGACTGACAGTCATTATTACCCCCAGCCCCGACTCACTCAGACTTAGGGCTGAGGATCCGGGCCCCCTCCTCTCTCAACCTCAGGAATTCAAGCCCGCAGCCCTCTCCCCATTCAACCCCCAGGACTCTTAGCAAGATCCCTTCCTCTCTCAGACCTAAGAGCCCAGCCTCTCACCTTCCCCAGCACTGAGGGGTCCCAGCCCACAAACACCTTTCCAGCATGTCTCCTCTGTCAGCGTGTCCCCTTGGTGCTCCAGTTCAGGGAAATAGAAGCCGAACTCAGCTCCTTCTGCAGACAGTCAGGAGGTTAAGGCTAGTCAGGGTTAGCCGAGGCCCTCCCGCACCTGGGTAACCCCTGCCCTCCACATACATACATTGTTTCAGATGCCTTCCACCCCCCACCAGCATCCTACCCAGCCCTGACAGCCTGTTCCCTGGGGGCACTTCCTGTGGTGATGCTTCATCCCAGCTCCACAAGTCCATGGATGCTTGTTGTGAATGTTCTGGGGGGCCGGGGGGGGGGAGGCAAAGGCACAGGGTGAGCTGGTGGCACTTAGGGACCATGCAGTCTGGGTCTCCATCCCTTGCTTCTCTCAGAACCAGGAGTGCAGGCCTCTGTTCCCTTCTTCCCCAGAACCCTGGAATCTTGGTTTCCAGTGCCCTTTTCTCAAACCAGGAATGAGGGACCTCAGCTGTCTCCTTCCTGAGACCCAAGAGTCCAGACCTCCAGTCCCCCCCCGTTCATAGCTCACCTTTGGCGGGTCCCTCTGCCTCCAGCTGGGGGTCTCAGCCCCATTTCATACCATGTACCCCCCTCCCCTGGGGGCCTGTGCAGGGGGGAATTTTCCAAGACGTCAGAGCTGGGGGTCGAAGCTGGGGTCGAGTTGCAGGGGGCCGGGGCGGGGCCAAGCCACACTCCCCCCTCTCAGGGATGACCGACCGACCGCCTCCCAGTAGC